GTGTGTGTGTGTGTGTGAGAGAGAGAGTGAGTGTGTGTGTGTGTGTGTGTGTGTGTGTGTTTCCTTCACCATATGACACCAGACACACCCAGCATAGTGCTTTATTGAGGCCAAGATCATATAATACAGATGCAAGGTGTTAGTCTTTTCTTTCTCTTTCTTTCTTTCTGTAAGTACACCTATAATAATAATAGTAATAAACACCATTACCAACAACAATAATTACATTTACATTTAATCGTTTAGCAGATGATTTGATCTGAAGTTTTTCAGGTTAGTCTAATGCATACAGTACATGTAGTAAGGGCGTTTAAAAAAAATACAAAAATGAAAGAAAACAAGTAGATAGCAGAGTGCTAGTGCTATATTATTATTATTATTATTCATGTTTAAAAGTAGCAGATGTTTGCACATAGTGTGGCCTTCAGTGTGAATGTATCATCATTCATATCAATGCTGTGGTATTATCATTTGATTCCTGACTTTAAGTTACTAAAATACTTTGTGATCTTCCCAGTTTATTATAATTCAGTTTAATTCTATTGTTTGCTTTTGTGAGTGAAAAGCTCCAGTATTCTCACATTCAAAGTCGCAGATATAATGCATTCTCGCTAATACACACGTTTATCAAAAGCATGAGTGCTGTAGTTTTATTCAACATGAATCTGTAGATTGAGGGATTCAGATCACATCTTCATCTGCTTCTGTCTTCTCTTACACATTCTATATTTGACCTCTTTTACTGCTCAGATGTTTTGATAACTGGAGTTTAGTATTGCCCAAATATTAAAAGCATTTGAACATCTGTAAATCATTCAGTAGATAATTAGCCTAAATGGATATATATTTTTTTATAAATAAGAAATAAGAAAATAGTTCAGATATTGTCTTAAGGAAAAAGAAGAAAAGAAAACTGTACAATGTGTAGATGTAAAAAACAAGTTTAGCTCTCTCTCTCTCTCACACACACACACACACACACACACACACTCTCTCTCTCTCTCACACACACA